AGAAGCAGGCGCCACTTGGTGATTTACCCAATCAGCTCCATGGATTGAACTGAATGTCCCTCCCTTTTGCAAACGCTTTCCACACGATGCTTTTCAGATAGATGCAGTGGATTTAGATTGAATTACACGTTTTAATCTGGCTTATGCCGGGTTAGTATCCATTTTTAGATTATCAGCTATGTTGAACGGCTTTAGAAATAAAATGGATTATTCTATCTCTAGGGAACAACAGGCAAAAATAATGAATCCAAAAACAGATTTATCAATTAAGATCTGCTAACGGAACGGCAAACTGAAATTTGCGTATTTTAATATGATGAAATTCAGAAGGAAAAGTCAGATTGTGTCCTTTTCTTACTGTCGTGTCCACTGCTTTGACTGCAGTCGAAGGTACATGGGTGGAAGTTTTATCCTGTGCCTTGAGCACCACACAGCCCTGGGGTCCCAAAGTGATGATGACCGCTGCGCAGCCTCGCCTCAGCAGCTCCTCGGCAGCGTGATGAGCGTCCTCCACATTATTCACTGTGCAGCCGGTCAGCAGCTCCGCCTGCGAGGAGGCAGACGGCAGAAATCTGTCAGCTTTCAGGTCACAGAGATACGATAGTCACAGGTTAGGAATGAAAACAAAGGGTCAGAAGGTGGGGGATACTGGGAGGATCAGAAAAATACTTGGTTAGGGAAATTCCCAGAGAATATGTAGGTTAGTGAAGCTTTATTTTCTGCCTTTTGTCATTAAAAAAAACACATTTAAATATATTACAGTTATGTAAACACATCTCTAATTAGTAGTAGCTGCTGTTATGAGTCAGCTTTTAATTACACGGTGGCTGTGGTCCGACAGACCAATGAAACACTCTGGTTTTAGGTTTTAGGAATCGAATTAACTCAAATTCTCCCAGAGGAATCTTTAAACTCAACGGGTCGCAGAGCGAATCAACATCCAGGAAGGATGAAACCTTTGAAACCTTTTAACTAACAGCTTCTGTTTGCTATTGTTTCCCCAACAAGCTGCTGTTTTCTGCAGGCTGACTGTTGTAGTTCTTACAAAAAAGCTAAATTAAATGCACAATCTTGTGTTCAGCATGTTTGTAATTTCCCTGCTGAGGTGAGAAGCACTGCAGCATAATTACTAATTATTGCTTCACTCTGCTGGATGCTGAATAGAAGGAAGCAGGAGCTTCATTTAGCTCTAATTATATTAATCATCCATTGCGAGTCAAGTTAACCCTGTTTGGAAGGTTGGATTTAACCCTTTAAAGCCAAAAACATGGCAGAAAATTCATTTTTTTGTTTTAGAGTTTTCATTGAACTTCCTGAGAAATTAGGGTTAAATTAGATCATTTATTTGCATCAATTTTGAACCATTGGGCACATCTCTATCATATTTAATGTGTTGGTTTTTTTTGTTCACGTATCTGATTTTGTGAATCTGGATTTTCAAGAACCAAAATATTGAACTCATGATGCAGAGGCCTCCGCAGCTCCCGTATCAGGTATGACACACCTGGCTTTAAAGGGTTAAAAAGGATCACAGCTGCAGAATTTTTAGTGTTAAAGTCTTTTAAGTTGCACCGAGAGACAAACAGAGAAATCCTCTTTCATATTTGTCCTTCTTTACCGCGACAGAACAACACAATGTTTTCTTTTACAAAATAAAAAGTAAGAGAAGCTTTCTAATTCACCCCCTTCAATAAATTATTTTACACTAATTTAAGTGAACTAATTAGTAAACAGAGGCTTCCTATAAAAAGGCAGAGCAAGCTTATTCAGAAAAAGCTGCTCTGGTCCAAATCATTTCCTCCATAAGCGTCAATACGGCTTCTACTCAGTGAGTCACGGTGATGGCAGCGCCATGCTGAGGGATGCCGTTACTCTGCTGGAACAGAGAGGATGGAAAGAAGGATGAGATAAAAACAGGACAAACTTGGAGTAGAAACAAAGGCTGCAAAAATAATTAAAGCTGAGCTCAAGGTTCACTTTTTATTTTTTTTATTTTAGAAATCCTCTCTTAACAGCCAAAGCTACCATGGGGTCATTTAGATTAAAGCATATCCAGCTAAAGTGGCCTAATCAAAGTCTAGATCTAAATCTATTATCAAATCTGAAAAAAAATAAAAAAATGTCCACAGAAACTCTCTGAAAAACTCACAGAGCTGCAAAACCTGCTGCTGTTTTTGCTCTGAAAGGTGAATCTGAGAAGTTCTGACACAGCGGAGGGAAATAAAGGTAGGAAACTTTTTTCTATTCTTTGTTCTAGCAATAAAAAAAAAATAAAAAAAAGAAGCACAAACGGATTCTGACATATTTTAATAATAATTTCACATCTTAATGAGGTTTTTTGGCTATGATGTAAAAACGTATAGAAAAAGGTACTATTGATAGTTTTGCAAAGCATGATATTATGCTTTGAAAAAATAAAATCAATATTACTAACCTGCAAAGTCAAATGAAAAGTGAGTCAAAGTTAAGCCGGAAATTTTAGCGCACAGTTAATGACGGCTGAGGAATCGCATCTGCTTCATTAGGGAGTCCCACCAAGGACAGGTCCTGTTTGACCTTTCACTGTTTGACCTTTCACTGTTTGACCTTTCACTGTTTGACCTTTCACCTGTTTGACCTTTCACTGTTTGACCTTTCACTGTTTGACCTTTCACTGTTTGACCTTTCACCTGTCGGTCCCAGCGCTGTTTGCAGAACCCAGAGAGAAAGATTCCCTCTCCAGGCTGCTTCTAATTGAACTCAATCAACACTTTAATGCAACAAATGAGCATATTTGCACAAACACTAACTGATTCTTTTTTTTTTCTCCTTTATATAAAATAATGACTGTAAATGCAAAATAGATTTACATAATATATGTTTTCTTCTCCCCTTTATTTCCCTTAAAGCATAGATGTTTATATGCAGTATGCTGTTAGTGCTAGTTTCCGAGGAAGGGCTCAAGGATCAAAGAGTGATTTGTACTTTGTCGTCTTTTCTTTCAGTGCTCCGTCTCCATGAGACACACCTGTGCACGGAGTGCGTCACCTGCAGCAGGGGATGGAAGTGTCAACAGGCAGCCGACACGTGAGTGGATCTTCCCCCGAACTGAGATCTGTCAGAGCGTCGGAGTGAGTGCTGATCTGGGACGGCTCAAAAATAAACTGGTGCTTTCAGAGCCTGCAGCCAACTCGAACGCCAAAGGAGAAAAAGAGCCGTTTTGTTAGTCATCAGCTTCACACCAGGGCAGGGAATCAATCTACCTCCCTCTGTGTTTAGAAATATGAGCAGAATTACCGCTCTCTCACTGTTCAGTCATCCCAGTGTGTGTGTGT